TTCTCTGGTATTGCTGAGCCCCCTAAAATAGAGTTCATCACCCGCTTAAGTGGTAATAACAGTTCATCTCCAAAACATTTATAATAAGAACTCATTAATCCATCTGGTCCGGAGGCTTTCCCTATTTTAGTCTTTTTGATAGCTTCTGATATCTCAAAGGTGGTCACAGGATTGTTCATGATTTGTTTTTTGAGATTAATTCTACTGGATAAAGTTTTTGTTGAATTTCTGGCAGTACTGTCTTTTGCCCTGTTGAACAATGTTTGCTGCTTCCCCTCAAAATACTTTCTGCTATGTATTCTCTGTTATCAGGGTTTTTGTTTTCATGAACATGTATGCTTCTGGGCTTACAGGTAGTCCTTGACTTACGGCCATTCATTCAGCAACCGTTCAAAGTTATGGTAACACTGAACAAAGGGCCTTACAACCGGTCCCTAAAATTATGTCCATTGCAGCACCCCCACGGTCATGTGATCAAAATTCGGGCACTTGGCAGCCCACCCACACAACCGGAGGGGTGCTTCAATACCCCCGCCCACCTGTCTCTTCCCATGTATGCCTTTTTGGCCCCCTGCCACCCTGCAGTTCACCGCCCCAGCTAACCTTTGCCATCTTCTTGCTCCTGCTGCTGACCAAGCATGCCTGGCCTGGCCCTTCATGAGGCAGCTGCTGGCTGCACAAGGCTTTACTCCCCAGGTTGCGCACAGCAGTTTCCTCACAAGACCCTTCATGTGGCCAGCAGCTGCCTTGCAAAAAGCCAGGGCGGGCACGCCTTGTCAGCAGCAGGAGCAAGAAGACAGTGAAGGTCAACTGGGGCAGCAGAGCACAGGGCGGCAGAGGTCTTGGAGTACAGGATGGCAAGGGCGACTCAAGCTAGGCCAGGGCTGGGGCGGTTGCAGCTTTGCACTGTGCTGCTGGGCCAGGTTGGGGCTGGGCTTCACACTGCAGTGCAGCGCTGGGGCTTCTTGCAGCCCCAAATCCACAGTGCGCCAAGAAGCCCCAGTGTAATACTGCAACCAGACCTGAGCAACTGGCAGCACTGGCAGCACATCTTGTATAGTTGCAGAACATAAGCAGGGACACCAGGAAATTCTGGGGCAATTCTAAGCTTGGTCAAAAACATCCTGGAAGAAAGCGGTGGCAGACTACTTCTGCACTGTTGCAAAAAAACAAAAACAACCCCCCTGCATGGACACGTCCATGATGTCACTAAGACCTGAGTAGCCTCTAAGGAGATACTGTCTTTGCAGCAATTAAAGGTCATTCACTCTTGTTTTTAATTATTGATATTTTTTTCTGTAAATCTAGCTGCATAGGTTTACAGTTATGAAGAAAGTTCGTGTTGAAAAGGAGAAACATAGTTTCTTTTGCACTCATGGCAGGATAGCTGTTTATTTATGAAATACAGGTTTATGGTTCACACAGTTCAAAGCTGCTCCATGCAAATGTGACTGAAACATTCCTAAAATATTCCTCACACATTTCCACGAATGGCTTAACTCATAATACCTTCAGACATGGCTATAACTCAATGGCAGATCAATTAAAAAAAGGGCTGGGTGGCTGGAGGCTGCATTTT